TCTTCTTGATACTTGCGCTGCAGCTCTTTCATATTTTCCATCATCAGACACATAAACTCAAGTGACTTTTCTGTAAATCCAGCAGCTCCTGTCTCGGCTGATGGACGTTCTCCTCCTGGTTGTTGTGCTTCGCCAGACATTCCTTCAGGGGGTCTAGCGGCCTCCTTTGGTGCACTTGCTGGGGGTCTTGCAGCCTCCTTCTGAACACTTTCTGGGGGTCTTGCAGCCTCCTTCTGAGCGCTTTCTGGGGGTCTTGCAGCCTCCTTCTGAACGCTTTCTGGGGGTCTTGCAGCCTCCTTCAGAACGCTTTCTGGGGGTCTTGCAGCCTCCTTTGAACCATCACTTCCATTTGGCGTGGAAAAAGACAAATCAACTTCGGGAACAGCAAACCCTGTTTCCAACGCATGAATCCTGTGTTTCAATTCCTCATTCTGATTTATCAATTCCTTCATATATGCCCTCATGGTGGACATCTCATGAGATTCAGCCGACATTCTGGCTTCTTCGGCTTCCAAAAACGAAGGTCTCCTAAAAGCTGGAAAAAAGGACCGGGCTGGTTGATCTCCGTACAACCATGGTGTCCTACTCTGCAGCATGACCATGTCTCTAACTTGCTCTTCGGTGAACAAAGGTGTGTGCATGACATCCGGAGTGGCTGATCCCTGATTTGGAACCCCAGCTGAGTTTTGAAGCGGGGTCATCTCCTCCACTTTCTTGTTCATGTCAACTACTCCAGGTGTCATTGCCATCGCGGTAAGACCAGCAGAAGACTTCTCACTTCGTTCTTTCTGAGGATTCGCGCTCCTAGGCTGAGCAGCGAGAGAGGATGCTGACTCACTTCGTTCTTTCTGAGGATTCGCGCTCCTAGGCTGAGCAGCGAGAGAGGATGCTGACCCTGGCTCGGCGGGTGTGATGGCGGCAGGGGAAGTTCGTGGTGGCAAAGGACTGGTCTTACCTTCCTCATCTCTTTCTTTTGTTGGGAGACTTTTTGGGGCACCTTCCAGCTTCACCTTCTCTACTTCCTCTACCTTTCCATCACCTTGAACATCTTCTAAGGGCAGTTCACCTCCTTCATTCGCCTCTTTCTCAAACCTTTCTTGTGCTAACCTCATCTCTTCTTGACCTTGTTGCATCTCTTTCGGAGTCGCTTTTCTTCTCATCTGAACTTGCATGGTTCGCCCTTGGGCTCATAACCTGCTTTGCGCAGGTCTCCTCTGTTTCCGTTTCCCTCGCACCTTGCAAAGTTTCCGTTTCCCTCGCACCTTGCAACTTTTCCTTCTCGGGGTTGTGCTCGGCTTGAGTTAGAAAAAGCAGCTACAGAAAATCGGCAAATGTGAAATCTGCAGCAAGTCAAAATGCCTGACAGGTATGGTCAAAATGGAATGCATTCTGCAATTATAAAAAAGAAAACGAAGGCGTAGCAAACTTTTGCAAATCATTTAGGAGCCCATAGAGAGGAGCAGGATATTGTCCGATATTGTGTCTAACTGGAAGCTCAAAGAAAACACCTGAAACTCTGACTTGCTGTTCTCAACTTCCAAGTTGAACCAATGATTTTGGGAAAACATGGGAAAACCCTGAAAAATTGAAGCTGAATCCATGTGAATCCCATCAACACCAACTTGAAACGTCCAATCATTCTCCTACCGACACGTTGCCTTGATGTGCGGCGATGAGGAAAGTGACCTGCCACAGAGTCCCGCACAGAATCGCTCCATGTAGCTCCCGCAAGTCAAACATGGCAAAGGACAAGTCCCCATTTTATATGGATATAAAATTATAAATAATGTTCCCTGTGAAACATCAGAGTCTAAAGGGGGATTTCCCATTGCTATGTTTCTGGGAATTTTGTATGCGTTTACATTTGGTTGGCTATGCCAGCTATTTTCTATGGAGCATCTGGCCGCCAAAGAGCCATATGGTTTGAGTCATCACAATGCCATTCACCACCAAAAGCATCATGAGTTCAATACTGGCACCCAAGAATGACCTTGACTATTCACATCTATTCACCGTTTGGTGGGGCAATGACCCAATACCAATATCAACACACACACACACATATATATATATATATACATAAGTATATATATATATATTTACTTATATTTACACATATTATATATATATATATACATAATTATATATATATATTATCATTACATGTAGCAGTGACATGGGGATTTGCTAAAATGGTGGATTCCCAAATCCATGGGTTTCAATACTAAAATGGTCTAATTTTGGATGAATTGGGGTTAGCACCATTTTAGCAACCTCCACATGACATCGGCTTAGACGTGACACAGAGGTTTGTCTGGTAGTTTTCTCGGAATATTGAAATGGGAAAAAGACGAGCAACTGAGGGTTTTAGGGCATCCTTCATACCCAACCCCTTTGGGTGAAAGATCTATTGGACCTCCGCACCATAAAAACCACTCGGCCCATGGAAAATCGACCGCAAATTGTTCAAAATCATGGGTTTCCTGCATTCTTTTCCCTGAAACCAATTCTGGGAGGTTCCCATCCTAATTTATGAAATCGTGGCCATATTCGGTTCCTGGATGCATAGGAGAATTAAGATACAAATGGAATTTACCAAATTTACCGCAATGTCAACCCACACTCACTAGATTGTTCATTATTGTTCTGGATCCCAAATGCAAAATCATCCATTTACTGAGCTGCTAGTGGTTTGAACCTATCCCCAAAAAGGAGTGATCTCAACCAATAATCCCAAGCATGTTTGAAAACCAATCAATATGTGAACGCCCCAGTCTAAGTCGAAAATCCTGAGCCCCGTGCGAGGAGCTGCTCCCGTGGGAGTGCCCACGAGGGCCTGCAACCAGTGAGTGACCCTTGGAGAATGCCCCAAAAATAGAGGTTTCTTGCACATGTTCCCTTAAAATGCTAGGGGTGAACTGCTAAAATTGATTAAACGGTGGGGATTTAGATTTAGATGGATTTATGTGTATATATATATATGGTTTTAGTATGATTTAATAAATCACAAAGGCTGGGTGTGTTTAAAGAGACAATCGGGGCTTTAAGTAACAATTCTTCGGGGTTCAACCATGAAACATTGGGATTTGACCTTATCCATGAGGAATTAGCTATATATAGTAACTATAGCCTCTATATGCCTCTATATATAAAGATGGTCAATTCCGTGCATTGCCCATCTAAAGGAGATATTGAATAATTATGAACAATTAAATGCACAATGTGATTATATCATGTGATCCAGCGTCTATGAATTGGTCCACCCACTTCATCATGTACATGTCAGCATGACCCACTTCTGAACTCAATCAACCCTCCATTTCTGGATTTGTGAACATTTGGTTATGGTTGGTCATCACCTTGTCAACAAATGCCCGCCAGAAACCCTAGTTTAATACTAGATCTGTTCACCTTGAGCGGTATGTTTTTCCCCAGCCCCACCTGGTGTGCAGCTTTCCTTCACAATTGATCCGCCTGGCGAAGATTTTGATACCATATACCGCATCATATCAAGACAAAAAAAACAAAAACTGGTTGGTGGTTTCAACCCCTCTGAAAAATATGAAAGTCAGTTGGGATGATTATCCCATATATTATGGAAAAATAAAAAATGTTCCAAACCACTAATCAGGTAAGCTTCTAATAATTCTAATAGTTGCAGCATATCAAAGACAAAAACCGCGCAGTGTCCGTAGCCTGGGGATGGAGTATTCTCAGAGGACGCCTGACGGCTGATTTGAGTCTTTCGGGGAACTTCACTCTAGTGGTGCTTCCTGAAATGCATTTTTCAAGCCAACACATCCACATAGGACCCTCCCAGAATTGAATTAGTTTGAAGGGAAAACCTACAGTACAGGGTTGAACCCCAAATTTGGCTGATAACTCCATTGTTTTTCTGCGCATTTTCCGTTCGAGCAGGACCTTTGCAGCTGGCTTCGCAGGACCTTGGCAAAGACGCCTATCGGGATGTAATAAGTCGATGTGTGCATATGCAATATAATAGAATCATCTACATAATCTAATCTACTCTAATGTAATGTAATGTAAAGCAAATGCAAATCAAAATCAAATGCAATGGAATGCATGCATATACATATATATATAATATTAAATTTATATTATATTATATATATATATATATATCCGCAAACATATCCGGAAAGTGGGATTCAGATGGATAAAGCAATCAAAAGGAAATAAACGTAAACAAATGGACAACCACAGTATGCAACGCTTAGAGGGGGTTCACGGTTCTTAATTGAATCTCAAGATTCTTCAGTCCAGTATGTCCAGTAATTTCTTTAGAAAATCATTATTTGGATCCACAGGGAGTTCAAGACAGATAGGGGTCAAGATTTGTTTCCGCCACAAACGGATAGAGAGGGATTGTTTGCTGCAACAAATCGCCAAATAAAAATTGTGGGGGGGGAGGCTCTGAGTGCAAGGCTTTGAGGATCCACGGCCACGGCCTGACAGTCATGTGGAACTAAAGGATACTAAAGGCATCCCAGCTAGTCGCCAATTTCTTTGATGGAAAGGGTAACACCAAACCAAACATCCCACCAGAAAGCGTGCCTGGACCAACATGCTCTGCGCTTCGCTTGCGTCCTCGCAACCAGCCATCCAATATGGGAATGAACATTCTCATAGCATCTCATAGCCATGTCAGATCTCAAATCCTTGGCAAAAAAAAACATGGAAGCCCAGAGTAATTAGTCACATATTTAGGATCACTGACATGCATTGCAATGCAGCATTGTTCAAATCAATCCAGACATATCCAGACCGTTGCTTACCTGGATCCGACCACAAGATCTCTCGCAATGACACTTTTCTTCAAAGGTGAGCGCTACATCGCCTCGCACATGCAACATCCAATTCCTGCTCGGCTGTATTTGCCTCGCCGGATGGATGTCTCGTCGATTCCAACATTCTGAACGCCTTGAAACACGCTGCACCTCCACAATCTTGCGGGGTGTGCACTGCATCATTTTGTCATATCACTGCTGTTTGCATTCTTCAATTTCTTCTTGCGGGGCTGCTGGGAAGTGTCGTTCATTCAGAAACTTATCCAGTCGACCCACTGGCTTTCCAAATTCATCTTGCAACGTGACCAAGCGGTTGCAGATCAAGGTGAGGTAACGGCTGATGTGATCAGGATCCAGTTTGAAGACATCATAGAAGCCTGGTTGGTGGTTCCAGCCCCATTGGGAATCATCATCCCATTCCTGTTGAAAATCACAAAGCGATTTTAGGTTTGTCTGAAAATGGTGTACTGTACCCGACTGTACCCTACACCCATTGGATTATCATATAATTTCCCCATACAAATTGCCACACAGGGTGTCATTCCCCATTTTCAGACACATCCCACATGAAGTTCCTGTTCCCAGAAGCGGTTGCACTGGTCCGGCTTCTCCTTTCCCGTGACCACTGACCAGGTGATATCCTTCCCAGCTTGCCATGATTTGGGACCCCAGCCATAGAGATCTGGGCGGCTGGACACATCAAAGATGTCACCATAGCAGGAGAGCAGCATACGGTCATTGCTGCAGGAATACTTGGCTAACTGTTGCAAATCTATGGTGCCCACCACCTTCATATGATCCTGCGGAAAGATGCGATGCTGAAAGTGCCACAGGAAGTTTGACTCCAAAAGGAGGGCTAAATGGATAGGGAGCTGAACACAACAGCAATATTATATGACCTCTATATATATATATTAAATATATATACATATATATATATATACATTTGCAAGATCGCCGCCATTTTAAGGGGGGGACGTACCCAAAATGTAAGCTACATTTTTCAAGGTGTTTTGGAGGGGGGAATTGAAAATGTAAGCTTACATTTTGAAGGTATTTTGAAGACCTTCCCCACAAAAACGATACCTGGGGGACGTTCAGGGACCAATTTTACATTTAAGGGGGGGTCCCAAAAAATGTATCTTACATTTTTGTTGGGTCCTCCTCTGAAAAGTAGCCTTAAAGGGGGTGGTGATTTTGTAAGTATTTGTATGCTCTGCTTCCTGTGACCGTGATATCTAGGCCAAATATCTTGGCCGATTGAAGGACGAATGAATCTCGAGAACCGCTATGAGTTGGGAGATCCACCCATCGAACTATAGATATAATATATTCGTGAAAACCCCGAGAGCCAACCTCCTGAACTGATCCCTAGCATTTCCCATCCTTGGGCAGTCTCGCAGGCTTGGGCCGTTCCTGGGTTTCTGTCAGACTTCCAGTGGTATCTTTGATCATCTTGCGACTCAGCTTCATGAACCTGGGCAGATGGCGAACTTTCTGAGGTGGGATGAACCAAGAAGAGATCCCTCTAGCAGACCCCTGAAACTATATGTAAAAAACACAAGCACGCACACACGGATATCTACATGTATATATATATACATATTAAACAGTAAACTAAATAAACAAATAAATAAATGAATAAAAAATAGATATAGATAGACAGACAGATAGAAAGATAGATAGATTAGATAGATTAGATAGGTAGAAAGATAGATAAATATATAGATAGTTATGTGTATATATATATATTTATTTAAAGACAGATAGATAGATAGATAGATAGATAGTTAGATGGATAGATAAATAGGTAGATATAGATAGCTAGATAGATAGATAGATAGATAGATAGATAAAAAGAAAAAATATATAGATATTTAAATAGATATTTAAATAGATATAACTATATATATATATATATTTATATTTGTATATATGTATATATTTATATGTTTATAGATAGATAGATAGATCTATACGTAAAAAAATATATATATATATATAAATAGATTTATATCTAAATATATTTATATAGATAGATTGATAGATAGATAGATCGACTGATAGATATTTAGATTGATAGATTGATAAATTGATAGATTGATAGATTTATAGATAGATAATTAGATAGATAAATAGATAGATAGATAGATATGATAGATAGGATAGATAGGATAGATAGGATAGATAGGATAGATAGGATAGATAGGATAGATAGGATAGGATAGGATAGGATAGGATAGGAAAGGATAGGATAGGATTAGATAGGATTAGATAGATAGATAGATAGATAGATTAATTAGACAGATAGATAGATAGATCGATCAATAGATAGATAGACAGATAGATAGACAGATAGACAAAAAGGCATATAGATAGATAGACAGATAGATAGATAGCCAGATAGGTCAGATAGGTATGATAGATAGATAGGTAAGATAGATAGATAGATAAATAGATAGATAGGTATGATAGGTAAATAGATAGATAGACCGGTAAGTAAGATGGATAGTTAGGTAAGATAGATAGATTGGTAAGATAAATAAATAGTTAATATAGTAAGATAGATAGATAGATAGATAGATAGACAGACAGATAGATAGATAGATAGGATTAGATAGATAGATAGATAGGATTAGATAGATAGATAGATAGATAGGATTAGATAGATAGATAGATAGATAGATAGGATTAGATAGATAGATAGATAGATAGGTAGATAGATAGATAGGATTAGATAGGATTAGATAGGATTAGATAGGATTAGATAGGATTAGATAGATAAATAGATAGATAAATAGATAGATAGCTAGCTAGCTAGCTAGATAGATAGATAGATAGGTAGATAGATAGATAGATAAATAGATAGATAGATAGGATAGATAGGATAGATAGGATAGATAGGATAGGATAGGATGGGATAGGATGGGATAGGATAGGATAGGATAGGATGGGATAGGATAGGATAGGATGGGATGGGATGGGATAGGATAGGATAGGAAGATAGATAGATAGATAGATAGATAGGTAGGTAGATAAATATAGATATAGATATAGATAGAGATAGAGATAGATAGATAGATAGGTAGGTAGTTCGATAGATAGATAAGGTAGATAGATAGATAGATGGATGGATAGATAGATAGATAGATAGATAAGGAGGATAGATAGACAAATAGATCGATAGATAGATAGGTAGATAGATAAGATAGATACATAAAATATGTATATATATATATAACATTGACATATAGCATACGATTAGATAAGATTAGATAGATAGACCAAATAGATTAGACAAGATAGATAGGATAGATAGGATCGATAGGATCGATAGGATAGATATGATGGATGGATGGATGGATGGATGGGTGGATGGATGGATGGATGGATGGATGGCTGGATAGATAGATAGATAGATAGGTATATAGATAGATAAGATAGATAGAAAACATATATAAGATAGACATATAAGATACGATTAGAGGCCATTAGATACGATTAGATAGATATGAAAGATAGGACAGGTAGGATAGATAGGACAGATATGATAGATAGGATAGATAGGATAGATAGGATAGAGAGGATAGATAGGACAGATAGGATAGATAGGATCGATAGGATCGATAGGATAGATAGGATAGATAGGATAGATAGGATAGATAGGATAGATAGATAGATAGATAGATAGATAGATAGGTAGGTAGGTAGGTAGATAGATAGATAGATAGATAGGTATATAGATAGATAGGTATATAGATAGATAGGTATATAGATAGATAGGATAGATAGCATAGATAGGGTAGATAGAATAGATAGGGTAGATAGGATCGATAGGAAAGATAAGATAGATAAGATATATAAGATAGATAAGATAGATAAGACATATAAGATGCATTACATAGATTAGATAGATTAGATATATTAGATAGATTAGATAGAATATAGAACAGATAGATAAGATAGATAAGATGGATAAGATAGAAAATATAGATAAGATAGATAAGATATATAAGATAGATAAGATATATAAGATAGATAAGATATAAGATAGATAAGATATATAAGAAGATAAGATAGACAAGAAATATAAAATATATAAGATAGATAAGATAGATAAGATACATAATATAGATAATATATATAAGATAGATAGAAAAGTAATATAGTTCAGTAATTTAAATAAGTAATATAGATGGATAAGGCAAGATAAGATTGGATTAGATTAGACTTAGATTACAGTAGATTTGATTAAATTAAGTTAGATTAAATAGATAAACAATACACAATATCATACAATATCTATAATTGTATATATATATATATGCACAGTACACATGTGAACACAACCCAGAACCACAATATATCTTTATACTTCGGACCTTCACTGAAACCCAGCGCAACACCGAGCCGCTTCAGCCGCAACTCCTTGCGCTGCTCCTCCGTGGGGTTGTTCGGTTCATCTGGATGCATCGGCTCTGGCGGCGGATCGTCAGCCTTTGTTTCCTTCCTTGGAGTTGCTGGGTTCCACAAAAACTAAACATATTCCAACATATTCCCTTAACCGATTCCCCAGTCATGGTGGATTTTCCTTTGGGAAAATAACAAATCACCTGAACCAAAGCCAGGTTTCTCCTCATCTGAATCCTCGATGTGATCAAACCTGACATGTCCAATGTCCAATATGAAGTGTGTGGGCCAGGGTTAAGTTTAATCAGCGGCCATTTCAGGAAGCTAAATTGGAGGTGCCTACCATGTATAAGACTTATGTAAGGCCTATGTAAGGGGATATCCCCACAAAATATGGCCTTATATGGTACAGTACCTCCACTTTAGGATCCTGAAATTCCCATTGATTTAATGGGAGATGCTGATTGATTGGATATCATTTGCGAGATGATAAATGCACTTTTTTTGTCTCAACAAATTTTCACATGTGACGAAATTTGTTTTGGGTCATTCACAGAATCCAAATGAACCCAAGACATCAGGAGGCAGGATATTTTTCGTTGCTGTAAGTTCTCAAGTCTTGTGCTCTTATCTGATTCATGATTCCTCACTGTTTAATATGGCGGATACCATGTGACAATCTATAGATGCATTCAAACGGTTTGTGCGCATAGAAGAAACAGGCAAACAAACAAGCGTAAACATATCATGCAGGGACATATGGATATGACACTTAATTACTCACTTACTACATTATAATGTCTGGTGTACACAATTTATACATGCACAAATCAATATTGTATACACACATATATATATAAATATATATATAGATAGATAGATATATATATATATACACATACACATGGAACAAATGGAGATGATCAAATCAATATCTGAACATATCTGGTAAAACTGGTACGTGCCCAGCAATGTGCCTGGAATAGTCGTTGGCATAGCGTTTGGGATCGTGCTTCTTTGTCACAGTGGCGGTATCCGCTTGTGCGGCAGGTACCGCTACGCTAGCCGCAGGGATGGCAGCACGGCGTTGACATAGCTGCCCCATGGGGTTGCGGCTGGAGAGTTCCGAAGAAAGGATACAAACAACTACAAGAAAGTATACTGAAAGCAAAGCCGATGGAATTTTTCGATTGGGAAAACAACACAAACAGCTGCAATTGTTTAAGGTTGCAAGCTGGATACCCTCTGGTAATTTAACATAGCTATTGAAAATGACCATTGAAATAGTAGATTTTCCCATTAAAAATGGTGATTTTCCATTGCTATGTTAAATTACGACAGGCCACTTTGTTCTGGATGTACGGTCGCTATCTACTGAATAGATCAGCTGATTCAGCCTCGAGCCGCTATTAAGGTCGTCTGGTGAAATCCGGCGAAAGGATGATCCAAAAACGAAATCATGCGCTAAAATGAACGTGATATCCCACTTCCCCTAGTAGTAAACACCCCCTTCATGGTTTTCAAAGATGTGCAAATCCCCTACTAAAGCAAGGTTTCTTGGGGGTGTTTAATATTATGGGGATTGGATTAGTTACATAAAACCATATTTTAAATAAAAACAACCGTCTGGAGTCTGGACAAAACCACATGCTTCTTGCAGTATCGGACTAGGTGCACCATAGGATCCCATGGCTGACAGCAGTCCTCATGCCGGGAAGGCCCAGCTGTCTCTTCACCTCCGACTGAAGAGTGTTGAATAAATGGAGAGACAGGTGGATAGCCAAATGCAAACCATATATATATATAGAGAGAGAGAGATGGGGTTGTGTGGTATAGTATTATATATTTACATTCAGTTATAAATAAATAAATATATATATAAAAATTATAGTACCAATAAATCAATATCTGCACGTGTGCACGTGTGTCATGTCCTGCCGAGGCGGGAAGCCATCCGGCAGTTCTCAGAGTCTCAGCAGCATAGGTCGGAAAATCCTATGGTTGTGGGTGAAAAGCCTGGTACCTATGGTCCCCTAAAATAGCTGCTTAATGGATGGCTATTCCCCCCAAATGGGGGAATAATAGGTTTTGACCTATCCCCATATTTTTGGTCTGCCAGTTGCTACATCTAGAACATTCTACAAGTGTTTCTTTTTTTGGTTAGGCCCACAAGGGCACCCCACAACAATAGGTGAGCTTACACATCAATATGACCATCATAGACCCCACTTAACCCAGTTTCTGAGGACTGAACTGCTCATGGCAACCTTGGTGAATCACGGGTCATGCAATTCCCAGCCACGCTTGGCGTTAGGAGAAAAATATAAAAAAGGCATGAAAGAACCAACATAAAAATGAAAATCAACATGACAACTCATGAAAATATTCCAAACCCTGTGTTTAGGCTTCGATGTTAGTTTGAGGAAGATATGACAGCCAAGTTGCTACTTAAAATTACAAGGACGTCCTATGGGAGGAGGTATGAGTTGCGAGGCCTACCACCCCACTGTAGGCGACTGTTCTCCATGCACTATGGATCCAATCCCAACCCAAATCACTCATGTGTGGTATCAGTTTCTCAGAATCTCTACCTGCATGTTCAGCATGTGTGCAATTCAATATTGTTGTAGCATAGATAGAAATATTTCCAATGTGAATATATATATATATACATACACATACGTACACAATAATACACAATACATATTGATATCATATGATACATTTATGACTTTGGGAAAACATATCCTACCTACCATCTTCCCGTTGAACATTGAGTTTGCGACATCAGTGTCTTGGCTAGCGGCACTCATGCCATCCTGCCCAGAAAATCCACACAATTTTCAAACCTGTTTTTTTTGCACAGATTTGGTAGACATTGGTAGACCAATTCTGGTTAATTACTTGTAGTTAACCAAACCTTTGTGCTTTACGATTTGCAACATATATACAATACATGTATATCATATCAAGAAATCGTTAACAGTTGCCGTACATGAACTATTGGGTTTAGCATGGTTTAGCATGCGGGTGGTGGTTGGTCATGGAACATGGGGATTCTATCGCAAGCGTAAACCTGTGGCTGGATGGTAGCATGACGCTCCATTGGCCACTGGACTACCTCATTGTCTACATCTATTGTGCGTGTATATATATTATATATATATGTATATATATACTGTATATGGAAACTGCACACATGCGTTCATACATGAAAAAGTTCAATACATATATATATATAATTATATATATATATACATGTAAACACATATACATATAAATGTAAACACACATATATATATATATTACACAACATATGTCCATAATATTGCAATATATGCAACACACACATGTATATATATATATATCAGTATATATTCCAAAAATACATCTCATATATCGTCATATCAGTGAAAACCTCCTGTCAACCCTGACCTCTCGGGACATCTGGTCCGTCTCAGCGGCGGCATGCATAACGCAGCCTGAAAAGCGGGGGGGGGCAGCGGCCCCAGGGGCCCCAGAGTGCAAAGATCTGGAGGTGCCGACCACTAAACCATGTTTTTTTGGCCCAATGGGAAATCGCAATGTTGTTTACCAAACTAGACCGGCTACATGTTTAGATATGTTTAGCATCTGTGACCGTGTAAATCCCACTGAATTGTAGAAGGTTGAATTCGGGGTTCACGTACAAATCCAGTTGGATTTGTAAATTGCTGGCGGTTGATCCACACCGTTTCAAGACTGAGCAGCCCACGTCGCGATCAAACAGCAACACCGTTGAAACTTGAAACATTCAAACAGCACACAATGCACACATATTATATATTCGAATTTTCTGAACACCACACCTAATAAACCTCCATCTCAAATGTTCAACTGGAAGAGGAACCTTTTGGGACACAAACAACAACGTCTCAAACATAGTCTTAGCTGTGGAATCTGTGGAGTATCGAATGTAGATTACATATAATTATGTGACATTCAGAGGGTCAGCTTGCTGCAAGTACAATTCTGACCGTTTGGGTATCTTGACTGGTCCAAAATCAAGAGACCAAATCAATTCCCTGCCCCCGAGGGCGCCTGCAGGCTGGAACGGCGTTACAACCAACCCCCATCCGCTGAAAGCCCACGGCTGAAGTTTGAACATTGGCGCTGCCATGCGCTGCCTAGTTACAAGATGTTACAAGGCACACTGCCCACTTCTTTTGTCAAAAGGTGATATGTGGCTCAACTCGTTGATCTTCATCCGTTCTCATCCATTTCTCAATGATTCATATTTGCCCCTGATGCAAAAAGGACATCCAGTGCACTTAGAATTCTCCAGTTTACCGTCCGTCCAAAGAGGTTCCTTCCTGACACCTTTTGCGGGGATTGACCACTATTTAAACAACAAAAAATAGCCCACCCAGGATGGGGAAAATTATACATACACACACATATATAGATATATATTCATACATACATAATCATACACATATATGTATACATACACATATGGAAATATAATTTGAAATATACGAGGATCCTCTCAGCACCGGGATGACCACAACAATCATGAAACAAATGGAGCCATGCACTCTGCTGACATGACAAATGGAGCCATCGTTTTCCGATGCTTTCGAGGAAACAAGAGGTCTCACGTGCTGTGAGAGGCACCTGCTGCGTTTGCAGCTGTGCGATTTTCTGCATGAATTGTTCGGTTGAAATGATTTGTTGGCGGAATTTCCGCAAGCATGAGCCACCTGGGTGCAAACAAATTAAACAACGGACCGGCGTGTCCACCCATTGGAGCCCCCAATGGTGATTGGCCTTCCCCGTTCGTTCGACCAGAAAACGGTGATTCGTTTGAAAAGGTGTCCAAATTTGTGACGTGACCATTTGTGTTGGTGATATCCAATCGGATAATGGTTCTTACCTCCCCACCATCTCATCCCTACTGCCATCGCCATCACCAACTTGTGGCTACCAGGTCGGCATCAAACGGGTCACCTGTGGCGATCCTGGAGAGTGTCGAAAACCCATTGGAAAATAAGTGTCACCATCTGCAGTATTATGCTTGGGGTAAATGGAGATCCAGTGGTGAATGATGAGAATAGTAGCATAAAACCATTGAACACCCTATATAATGTTAGTCATTAGTTAAATAATAGTAAACCATTCCCAATTTTACCATAAATGGCTGGGATACCCTCTGGTAAACTAACATAACTATGGAAAATCACCATTTTTAATGGGAAAATCCACTATAAATAGCCATTTTCAATAGCTACGTTACATTACCAGAGGGTAACCTGTTTTTATTGTTGCCTTTCTGACAAAACAACAAATTTGCTCCCCCGAAGAAGGTCTTCCCATCCTGTCGCAGGTGTTTCTGAGGAGTTCCATAGGAAGTACTGACCTTAGACATGACCGGTGAGCTCCAGCCAGGCGGTTTCAATGCCCAAAATCGTGGGACTTTGGCATAGCAACCACCAAAAGATAGAACGGAGTTATGTATGTACCACTATGCTACTAGGATTTTACTTTTCTAGCTCTTTGGAGGTTGCATTCAAGCACCTTTGTTTAATAAAACAGCAATTAAACCATCATGATCATGCCGTTTGGCAGTATGTTAACCCTACATGATCCTACATGACTGCCACAAACATACCAATATTTTATATTACACCTCTGTAAGCCCAACATGCGTGCTGCTTCAAACACCTTCTAAGACCGGAAATTTGGCGTTGTTTGGCTTCAAACACGTGTCAATAGATATATATATATATAATTGGAGCATCACGGGGCAGATCGAGGAACACGATCTTGCTGAATTATATCAAATCATTAACCGAGAACATAGCTGAAATTATGTTATTTTGGGGGATAATGCCGCACACTAATCATAATTCCAATGACGTCACAGTGAGGTCATTCTGGATGTCATATATCCCATATGTAAGTATCGCCATTATTGTCGTTGTCCCCATTGTCGCCGGTAATGGTTGGTCAATGGGATGGTTTACTATTGGGTCAACCACATTTCTATAATAACTAGAATGTATATATATATATACACACGTATATATATATATATTTATCTATATATCAGTTTTTTTCAGCTAT